GTATCGGACATAAAAAAGTGGTATCGTGCCAACCATTCCACCTGGAGTTTCCTCTATTATTAAACATTTATGGGATTCTCATACCTTTGTCCCCCCCCAACAACAATTATCAAACTAGTACAATTTTGCATTTTGAACATTCTAATGAAATAAATGCGTTAAATGAACAGTAAACAACTTTTTTTTTTTTTAAATAAATCGTACACTCACCCTCAAGCGGCTGACTCGCTTCTTCCAGGATCGTAGTCCAGACAGGTAGATCTGGTTCAGCGCCTGGTAGGACAGCTGCAGATCGATGCCCTCTGGTGTTATGGTGAACTGGAATGCCACTGCCTGGTGGGCCTCCGCCATTTCTATGGAAACACAAGCACAAATGTGAACACCAAGAGGAAGCGGTGTTTTGTTTACTTCTTATCTGATCCAAAACTAAACTCGATAACTGCAGCCGGGAAACCATCAAGACTTTGACTGTGATTGTGGAGAAACACGTGAGTGATTTCAGATAAGATTTCATAACCTGTAAATTTTTGGCTTGCTTTATGAGTGAACAGCCAATTTGATAAGCCTCAACGTAGCTCTGTGTGCGATATTGTTACACTAATTTAATGAATCACTGGAATGTTGTTGTCTCACGGCAGCCCCATGCACACAGACTACATGCTGCTTGCTGTTTGACTAAACCTGCAGTTGCACAGTCTGTTTCAACACTGAACTGTGTAAACAGCAGCCACCACGCCAACACGTCTCATCCTCAGTGAGCTCCACGCAACACATTTAATAACTACATTTCTGGAACAAGCTAGATTTTGGCCTGTATAATTGCATATAACTCATCCTTTTGTCCTATCAGATTTAAATTTCTGATCAGGATTTGGCAAGTCTGAGCAAATACCATCACGCCTTCAGCAGCAGACAGACAGACAAGGTTTAACTGGAGGAACACGAGTCTGACAGGCAGTTTCACTGGAGGACTGACTAAATAATCGGAGTCACCGCTGCTCCTTGTTAGCAGAACATTGAATGACATCACTGGTTTCTCTGATGTTTTTTTGGCAGGAGAAGAGCCTGGAGGGGCCTAACAAAGTTTCAAGTAAAAGATGGCGATCCAACACCCATAAACTTACAGAAAGCAGGCAA